CAGAAGTACAAAGGTGCCACCGGTTACCTACCAATACTTTTTGAGGGATCATCCCCAGGTGCCGGCAAGTTTGGTCATCTCAGAATTCGTCGCCGGAGTTTGCCGCCAAAGTAAAAGTATTGATTTGTTGCCGTAGTAAATTTTATTATTAATCACGACTACATTGGTGATGGCTAATGCATTCAATAAATTCTACTATCTACGGTATTGTCAATTTGAATAGCAGTAGCAGTGGTACTGATGATAATAGTCGAAATAATTCAGTAACTTTGGACTTGCATTAACTAGAACTGCGTCGAAGGGAACAAAATAGGACAGAAATTGAGAAGAAGAAGTTCACATATCCTTCTCTATCAGTTTTGCTATGGAGCCATCGGATGGCTCGGCTTATGGAGCCATCCACAGTTATTCACAAATAGTGTATTGACACGTGTCTTACAATAAATGCACTTTGGACAAGTGTCAATACACTAAGTCATAGATGGCTCTATAAGAAAACCATCCGATGGTTCCATAGAATTTTTGCCTTCTCTATATATAAATAAAGAGTTTTTTTTAGATTAAATATTAATTTTAATGTTTTGTAATTTTATTTTTCAATTTATACTTCTTAACTCTACATATTAGATGATGTACTTCTTAAATTATGAAAAGTTAATCAATTTAAATTATAATGTTTTAAATTATGATAATTTTTTTTTTTATGTTTTTTCATACATAATATATCTAATCAATACTCTCTATATATTTATGCAAAATGTCTTGATCCTATATGTTGGTTTCTGATGCTTCTTAATTCTATGTGTCGCTGTTGATTCGTAAAGTGTTCGGTTTGGAGTACTACAAGTAGATCTGTACTACGTTTTGACCAACTGAAACTATAAATATATTTTAAAAGTTAGTAACTTTCATATTTGTTACCATATTTTCATGTATGATTATTCAAATTAATTGTTGAGTTTCAATTTGACATCTATGTTGCATATATAAATAATTATGTATAGTTACCTTTATAAAAAAATTAATTTATATTTTTTAACAAAAACTAAAAGTATTATCAATTAAATATATTTTATGTATTAAATTGTTATATAATTCGACTTAAAAAATTATTATGTAATAAAATTTAAAAACTATTATTATAGATTTATAGTATTAAGTGATAAATGTCATCTATATCTATATATATATTAAAAGCCAACCTATTTACCAAAAATAGTAACAAGAAAAGTCAACACACATTTAATGCATATCTTATTTGGAAATTTTTTACTATATGCATTAAATGCTTGTATATTTATATTTACTATCCAGATATGATCTTAAAGATTTTTTCTTTAAATAATTTATGTAATGATTTTACTGATATCCATTATAATTAATATTTGTCGAGTAATATTTTTTAACCTTTATTTAATTATATAAAACTAATATTTTTTTAAAAAATAATATTATTTATCATTTAAAAGATAATTATCATATCATTAAATGATTTTATTGATTGTTAGATATTAAAATTATATTAGTTATTCTTTAAAAAATTTACTAAAATAAAAACCGGCTTAAAAAAATCCCATAACATCCTATAAATAAAAAAAAAGTACGTAAAATTTTTACTAAAATAATAATTAAGACTTTATTTATTTGTCTTATTCCATAATAACATCGATTTAGTCAAAACAAATCCCATAATCAGTGGAGTAAAAAAATGTACGTAAAGCCTATTTATTTTTTAAAAAAAAAACAGATTCAAAATTCCTTATCCAATTTCTGTTTAAAGCATTTTATTTAATATTTATTTATATGAAATATTGGATAGAATTTTTGGATCTGAGTCAATTTTGAAATCGCGTTGTTTGGTATGAGATGATTATCCGTATCCTATATCTGTCTAAAGCATATTATTTTATATTATTTAATTAATTTATTTAATATTAAATTTTTTTATCTATGACATCAGTTTTGTCAAAAAAAATTGAACAAACAAACAAATAAAAAAGAAACAGGATTAATTACCTTCGACTTGTAAAAAAATTTATGGGTGGACATAAATATTTAACAATGCTATTTCAAGTTCCTTAAATAATACTATAACTATGATGTTGAAATATAATTTTTTTTATGAGTGGCGTAAATATGTTGTTTAAAGTTCCCTAAAATATTTTTTAAAAATTATGTTGTTTAAAGTTCCTTAAATACTTGTATATTTAAAGTATACACATGCTGTAATATATTAAAGTCAAAACAATGTTGGAAGGCTTTTGAATTATCCAATTTAAATTATCTAAATTAATTAATTTAAATATTTAATCCAATTAAATCTTCAATCCATGGAATATTTTTCTAATCCCGTGAGCATGTTATTTTGTTATTGTAATCAACTTATACACTATTTTACTAATAAATTATTTAATATCTATGTACAAGGAGGTCTTTAATAATATATGATTTTTTTTGTCGGATACTATTTTATTGTATAATTTTTTTGCGTACTATAAAACTTTTATTGAATATTGCATCTTATTATATAATATTCCCCAAACAAATATATCCCGTGTCTCGGCACCAGTCCCGTACTATATATATCCCGTATATTTTTTTATTCATTTATATAATTATAAGGCTGGATAAATAACCTTAAAATTGTGCACCCCGTGCATCGCACGGGCTATGTACTAGTTTTATTTTATTATCTAGCCATAAGTAATATCATTTAATGATGATGTGATCATTATCTCTTAAATGATAAATAAAATATTAATTTTAAAAAAATGTTTGTTTTTTATATAATCAAATAAAAATTAAAAAATACTATCGACAAATATGAATTATAATATATATCAGTAAAATCATTGCAGAAGTTCATAAAATTATTTAAGGAAAGAATCTTTTTGATCATATTTGAATAGGAAATATACATATGCAAACAATTAATGCATATAGTAAAAAATTTCTAAATAAAGTATGCATTAAATGTGAGTAGACTTTTTTTACTACTATTTTTGGTAAATAGTATGGCTTTAATATAAGTATAGATATAAATAACATTTAGCATATATATTTATTTTTTAATACAAAAAAATAATAATTACATATTTTGGTTCATCATAATACTCAAATATTATTTTATTAAAAAATTTATTGTCGTATAATGTCATTATTATTTATAACATTTATGGAAGTAATATTTCTTTTTTATATAATGATAAATATTTAATGCATATTAATACTATTTATTGGTGTGATTAATTTAAATATATATAAATAAATCTAATGTTTATTAGGAATGTGATAGATCTCGATATTTTAGGTACAAATATATGATATATATGTACAATTATATGATATGAATATATTGAGATAAAAAAAAATTGTTATGTGATTTATTACCTTAATTAATTAGCCGCAATTACCTAAATTGTATCTTTAAAATTAACATACCACAAAATGTGTAAGTAGTTTCCAAAATTAGTAAACTAACATTTTTTTGGCGATAAATAGTTACTATTTAAAAAATAATCAAATCTTTATATAGATATAATTTATTATATCTAAGTGAACATATGAGATAACTGGTAATGCTCCTCTACTCACAGTGGGCACATGTTAATATGCCCACCGCTTATGTGGCATGCACACATTGGTGATGTATTTTTTTGAATATATTAACAATACCAATGTGTGCATGCCACATAAGCGGTGGACATATTGACAAGTGTCCATCGTTGGTAGGGGAGCATTATCCATGACATAAAATAACCCATTTATCCCATTGGTAGCCGCTAAAAATGTCAAACGGAAATGCCAAAATAGAAAGAGCTAATGAACATAAAAAAGATAGAAATATTTAATTAAGTGATTAAGATATCTGGTATATTTTAAATTTACAAACTACTAGTACAATACCCGTGTATTACACGGATCTTGTTAAAAAATTATTCTTAAATTTTAAAATTAATGAGAAAACTATATTAAATTTAGTTTATTTTTTTACCAAAAAATATATTACTATATATTTTAGAATGATATGTGTTACTTATAACTTACATTTGTTATATTATATTAGTTTTAAACTTATATCATATAACTACTTGAAATATAAATATATTAGTTGATAAATAGTTTTATTTTTCTAATTAATATTAATTTTATTATTGTTATAAAGATAAATATAAATTACTTTTTTATACATACAATATGGATGTTAAATCGAAGCTCATCAAAAGAAGATTAATTTGATATATTACATATGTAAAACTGATAAAAAATACAAAAGTTATTAACTTTTAAAATATATATACAATTCAATAGTTATAATAAGGAATTATATTAAAATGCAATTAGTACATGTAACATGACCATAAATAATCAACATATTTATGGTAATCCGAACCTAGTTATTTTTTTTTTTTTGTTTGGAATTAAATTAGAATTTACCCAAACATAATAACGAAGCATGTAATTTTGCCACATAGAATTCCGAAGCACCAGAAGCAGCCACGTAGGCTCAGCGCGTTCTGGATTAATATATAGGGGGGAGGGGGATAATTATATATATATATAGGGGACAGATCAAATGACGCCAGCTCTTAAATGCGGACAACTAACCTAGCACAATCAAACAACTAACCTAGCACAATCAGACAACTAACCTAGCAGCATCAGACAACTAACCTAGCAACTGCAGAGACTATGCATTTTCTAATTTTTTTTCCAATTGGTACATAAAATAGAGGTTGAGAGTATTGTTATGAAAAAAAAACTTCGAAAAATGTGTCTCGATTGGGGAGATATAGAGGTTTAAAAATACAAAAAACGTATTTTTTTTCTTGAAAATGAAATTAAAGCAAGAAAAGGCGTGTTTTTTAAAAGTCGGGCGGCCAAACAACCTTCGGCAATTTGCAACTGCGTAGATCTCGTCGAGCTACCCCAAATAAAAAAAAAAAATCGTCCAAATGGAGCTTTCTACGCAAAGTTATGGCCTTTCAAAGTTTTGCTATGTGACCCTGCAAATTTTCATCATGTAGTTGCAACTACAAACAACTAACGTAGCACCATCAACCAATTAAACTAGCAAAATCAAACACTAACCTAGCACCATCAGACAACTAACCTAGCAACTACTAACATAGCACC